ATGACTAAGATTTTTTGAAAAAAAATAAAACACAAACATCCACCTCCTCACCCCCAATTTTAAAAAATGTGCTCTGCAAAATAGCGCAAAATACTTGTTGAGCTCATGCAAAAACTGACAAATGAGGCCCTTTGTCTTTATTGTCTAATTCCTCTCAGTGTGTTCCTCACTGTACGGTTAGTTTCTGTGGTAGGAAATCAGATTGCAACACTTGAGACTGCAGCAGCAGCAAAATGAATTTTTTTCTTAAAAATTTCAAAACTTCCACACAAAAAAAACAGAGCTTCTCAGAAATCTACTTGGAGCTTGAAGTTATTCAGATGGTCTGCCACCAAGGAGCTTTCAGGCAGATTGATCAGTCAATGTATCCATAAGTCATTAGCACCAGCCAATGAGATCTAATGGGATCTAACACACAACTCAAATCACACCCCCCCCACCTTGTTCACCCGCTCCCCTTCCCCTCAGATCATGAACCCAGGTCAGGCAGATCACGCATTTGACTTCTAGTTCAAGGATTTTTGTTTTTGATTGAGAGTATTTTGTTAAGGAAGCTTAGCGACTGTTACTGGGAGAATTTTGATGAGGAAGGTTAGCGACTGTTACTGAGAGTATTTCGTAAAGGAAGGTTAGTGACTGTTAAGGAAATCCCGCTAAATCCTGAAGTGCAATGACGGCAGTTGTGAAGCGCAATGGCTGAATTCAAAGCATGACTATGGGATTTGAAACACAGAGCCTTCTTTGACCTTCCAGAGCATCTCCATGCTTAAGAGAATCCAAACCATACTGATTGCAGGCTCCCTACATGTGGAAATTCCTGTATTTGTAATGGACTGCATGTTCTCTTCCTGGAAAGGTACATCCTGCCCACTTAAATCCAGAGAGTTTTAGGCACAGGATTGCAAAAGCCAAGTGTTGGGGACCCAGACTGTGTACTGCTTGAGTTTAACCAGTTAAAACCACATAGCTTGCCATTGATAGCACTGCCTGACAAGTTTCCTACCGCTTACCAGGTTGGACCACCATTCCCATTAGGATTTTGGCTTAAAGAGTTAACTGGAACTGCTGCCAGTGACCAACCAGCCTGCTCCAACAAATCCTACCAATGAGCCACAGTGGCTGGAGTACTGTGGAGCAGCTTTGTTCTGGGACCGATGACCGAGACCGCCACAGACAATCGATTTAATTCTGACATTCTGTTTCCAAACATGTCACCTTGGAGTCAGTTCAACTCCAAAGAGATTCCACTTACACACACACACCCCCAAAGGAGAATAGTCACTAGTTGATCATTTGACATCCAAAAAGCATGTTTCTTCACTAACTTAGTCTCAGGACTTCAGACCTGATTCTTTTCAAATCCTTTCACCAGATCTTTCGTTTGTCATTCATTGTTGTACACTACCTAAGTTTATACCTTCCCAGACGAGAGTAAAATTGTCCTATTTGGAAGGAAAATAATATTTTAGCCGAAAGTTTCAATACATTACCACCTCAAATGACCCCAAATACATTTTGCCTGCTAAATTAGCAACCAATTTGGTTCCTAATTTATTCATAATTGTATTCATCTATTACACTTCACAGTAAAATCCTGTGAAGCATTTTAAAATGTCTTGATGATGTCATAAGGCATTCTTTAAATGCAAACATTTTTATTTCTGATTATTTAATTGTGATGGTCCTTCTACAATTTGTCACAGTAACATTTTACTCATTTCCTATGGCAAAGAAGTCATACTGACAAATTCCATATGAGAGCTTGTATTATAGGTTAATTACTTTATATTTTACTTGACATTACAAAAGGAATTGAATGATGATCCTTCCAACTCTGGATTCCATCTCATACCTTATTGTTGGTTAATATGGGACTCTGGTATATGTTGCGTAATAGAAAAACAGCAAAGTTAGATACAACAGTTAAAAAGCTGAATGACAGATTGACTGGAAGAAAAATAAACCACAGATTGCAAATTATTTAAAATCCATTAAGAAAAAGGATGAAGCATGTTTTAGACAGAAGCCATTGCATCAATAAAATTGCTAAATTCCTGAGGGGATTAGAGCCTCATTTCAAGTGAAGTCACATGAGACAAACAAGTTGGTAAAATACACCTTGTTTTAACAAAATTGAGCTATTTGTCAATGTAACATTTAGATACATGGTGAAACATTGCTTGTGAAACCTCACACATGCTTCCAATAAACCTACGTTTCTTCCTTAAGTCTACAGAATCCTTTCCTTTTAATAACAATTTGTCTAATATTTTAAAATGACACAGGATGGTGGGAAAATTATTTTAGTCTTAATATAAAGGCTCCTTTTCCATAGTCTTAACAATAAAGCTGAATTTATGATTTTTCTACCTCCCATTCTGCATTATTTTAAACATTAAAAAAATTGAATTTACAGAGAAAGATTAAGTGGGATTTGGAGTCTCCTGAGTTAGTCAATGCAGTACTAACTGTTAACCAGCATTCAGTGGAAACTGAACAAACGCATAAATAAGGCTATATTTCTGCTAACCCTGAACCACTTGACAAATTGTTACATAGTTTAAGTATTGCATTGTGCCACACACAGGCGGATTGTACGTGACAAATGTAAACCTCGAGTTACAAATGTTGAAACTACAGTAGCTCTGTTTCAACACACACTGCTGTAACAATTCCAAGCTGCTGAAGATCACTGAGCACCAAAAATTGGTGATATTTCTGAAAAGCTACTTCCAATTTGCTTGTTAAACTGTGTATGAAGTTGCCAGTGTTGCTTATAGATATTTGGGCATTATATGTAAGTCGTAATATACAGTATTTAAGCTATGTAAGTAAACACCTTGGGACGTCCTCCCGACATGAAAGGCGTTCTATAAATGTAATTTTGTTGTAAACTAAGTTCTTTATTTTCACTCTTGAGGACACCCACTGCAGACTATTTTAGCCTGACATGTTACAACCTTAGAATCATAAAATCATACAGCACAGCAAGAGGCCATTTGGCCCATCGCATCTGCGCCGGCTCCTAAAAGAGTAATCCAACTCAATCCCACTGACCCGCTTTCTTTCCATAGCCCTGCAATCCTGTCCTCCCCAAATACCCATCTACTTCTCTCTTAAAAGTTGTTGTTGAATCGGCTTCCACTAACCTTTCAGGTAATGCATTCCAGATCCGAACAACTCACTGGGTGAAAAAATGTTTCCTAACCTCCCTTCTGTTTCTTTTAACAGCTATCTAAAATCAGTGTCCTCAGGTTACTGACCACATGCCAGTGGAAACAGTTTTTCCCGGTTCAACCTATCAAATCCTCTTATGATCTTGAAAACCTCTATTAAATCTCTTCTTAATCCTCTCTGCTCTAGGGAGAATAATCCTAGTTTCGCTAACCTCTCCTCATAACTAAGGTCCTTCATTCCTGGTACCATCCTGATAAACCCCCTTTGCACCCTCTCCAATGCCTTAACATCTTTCCTAAAGTGCAGTGCCCAGAACTGAACGCAGTACTCCAACTGAGGCCTAACCAGCATTTTATAAATATTCAACATAACCTCCTGACTTTTGTATTCTATGCCCCTATTTATAAAACCTAGTATCCTGTATGCTTTTTTAACAGCTTTATCTACCTGTCCTGCCACCTTCAGAGATTTGCTTATCTGGATCCCCAGGTCTCTCTGTTCATTTGCCCCCTTTAAGATTGTACCATCAGCTTATACGGCCTCTCCTCATTCTTCCTAATAAAATGCAACACTTTGGATTTCTCCACATTAAACCTCATCTGCCACATTTCTGCCCATTTTACCAATCTGTCTAAGTCCTCTTGGAGTGTCCTACCGTGAAATCTGGTGCTATCCTCCTCACCATTAACTACTTTTCCTAGCTTAGCATTGTTTGCAAATTTGGAAATTGTGCTCCCTATATCCAGGTCCAAATCATTAATATAGATCAGAAAGAGCAGTGGTCCCAATAGCGACCCCTGAGGGACACCACTACACACTTCCCTCCAGTCAAAAAAGGAACCGTTCACTACCACTCTCTGCTTTCTGTCTCTTAGCCAGTTCTGGATCCATGTTTCCACAGTCCCTTTAATACCGTGGGCTTCTATTTTGTTTATAATTCTCTTATGTGGCACTTTGTCATCTCTTCTCTCATCCCAGCTTCCTTTAATAATTTTAATCCCGATTGCCTATCCGTTTCTTTCTTAAATCCCTCAAATGATTTCTCAACCAACGCTTTCTGAGAGCGGTGCATTCCAGATTGTTATTATTTTGTACTAGAAGAAATTTCTCCTCAACTTAATCCTAACCCCATTTGCCCTAAATTTAAGGCCTCTTGTAACTGACATATTTTGGGAAAAGACACTTGTTGCTTATTTTGTCAAACTCCTTCATGACCCTAAACCCCTCGATCACATCATGCCTATCTTTTTATCTTCAGAGAATACACCCCCAAATCCCCCGTAATTCACTATAGTTTAACACTCCCCACCTCATCCCTGGTATCATTCTCATGAAACTATGTTGCATTCTCTCCAAAGTCATATGATGTACTTTTAAGTGCGGCCTCACCAGTGCCCTATACATTATTTCCCTGCTAATTCCTTCAGTAATCTTTTTATATAGTTTGAGGACTGTGACATCCATTGAGCTATTATTTATACAATATGCTTCATGCAACTTTTTTTTAAAAATAGGAGCAAGTAACCAAATAAATAATTGTTACATTTGATACAGTGCCTTTCATAGCGGGAGGACATCTCAAAGTGCTTCACAGTATTTACTGTACTGTAGCACATGGGGACACCTATCACCATTCTTAAGAGTATCCAGACCAAACAGAGTCCATGCATTCCAATTACACGTGGAAATTCTGGTGTGGGGAATGGAATGCTAATTCTCTCTCCAGAGGGATGCCTCCTGTTTACCCAATTCCAGAGAATATTAGGTGCAGGCTAGCAAGAGATAAGGCCTGTGTGCATTGGGGTGCTGCTGGAGTTTAACCATGTTCTGTAGCTCAGTGGTAGAGCACTTGTCTCACAAGCAAGAGGACCTGGGTTTGAATCCCGGGCAGGACAAAATGTTGGGCAAGTTTCCTTACTCCACACACCTCTGTTTACCAAGCAGTAAGTAGGAGCCCAGTTGTTAGACAATTGGCAGAATGTGTTTCCAGGGTAAATAATCCCTTCAAAAAAAAATATAATAATTAATATGGTCACTCGTCCACAACTGTTTGTAGGACACTGCTGTGTGCAATCGGGTGCCACGTTTCATCCAAAAAATATACAATCAATTCACTTTACAATATATTCTGGGAAGCACTTTGAGACATGTCAAGGACATAATAAGGTGCTATATGAAATGCAAGGATTATTATATATATTATTCTTATTATTAACTAGTTAAAACCACATAACTTGTCATTGAAAGCAATGTTGAGTGTGGTGACTGTATTTTGTCAGTAAACACAGTTGCCGGTTTGCACACAGCAATGTCCCACAAACAGCCATGAAGTGATTGATTAGTTTTTCTGGGAAATTGTTGGCTAGGACACCAGGAGAAACCCCCTTCTCTTTTTGAGTAGTGCCATGGAATCTTTAACGTACATCTGAACGGACTGATGGGACCTCGTTTTAACATCTCATCCTTGTTTTAACATCTCATTGTACTTCCAACAATGCACTGGAGTATCAGCATAGCCTATGAGTTCAAAGTCCCAACATGGGTCTTGAACCTACAACATTTCTGGCCCAGAGGAATGAGTGCTACCAACTGATCCAGGCTGACACAGATTTGTACAATAGATCCAGCACTTGCTGTACCTTAGCCTTAATGACAGATTAATTTCACTGCACCTTGGCAGTCAAGCTTTCAGCATATCTGCCCCCACTCTCTGGAACTCCATCCTGAAATCCCTATGACTCGCACCCTTCTCTTTCATCATGCCTTTGGTAATGCTTACCCCTTCACCTTCACCCTCCTCAGGCCCCACTCCCCCTCAGCTTCCACCAGAGCTTGGGTGCTTGGGATGTCCTCCTGATGTGAAAAACACTTTATAAATGTAAATTTGTTGTTGTTGAGATTAGATAGGACCGAAGGGCATTTGTCATCCAAGTCTCTCGTGTGATCAATTGTGTGTATTTGTGTGTGTGAATGCACACACTTGCACTTTGTGTGCATACAGCAAGCACTGAATGTTATTCCTGATTCTTTATTTCAAGTTTGGTTATACATGACCAGAAGCAGTGGCAGGAATCCAGGTAAGCAATGGGAAAACCACTATAGAGGAAAATAAGCTATTTGCAAGAGGAAACAGTAGGGTGGTGATGGCTGTGTTTTTTCACTGTGGCGTTTATGTTTTTCCCCTCACATAACACAAAACTACCTCATACAGAAATGGGATGTTGGTGTGTTCCATTGGTTAGTGACCTCAATACTGTTTTCTGGATTCAATCTGAATGTAAAAATGCCACAAAAAAGCTCTCTGTGAAGCTCTCTCTCCCCCACAATCACAGGGTTAAGCCAATGACTGTCTTCTGTGTAATTGAGCCAAACAGACCTGAAGGGTCCTTGGTTTAATTCCTGATCTATGTTGCTGATAATAAGAATAATAATCCTTACATTTGATATAGTGCCCATGATGCCGGGAGAATATCTCAAAGCGTTTCACAGGGTTTACTGTAAAGTGTAGTGACTGTGTATTTTGTCAGCAAAATCACATTGGAGGAACAGTTGAGGCACGTCATAGGGCCTCAGCCTTCCAGGGTAGGGATGAGAAAACATTAGCCTCAAGAAACCATTCCTTACTGGAAAGTGCACCTGCATGGACATTGGCTACAGTTCCTATGGGTGAATGACCTGTGCATACTCACTGACTGGACTTCCACAGAAAGAATCACCACTTAAGTGAGATATCAGGGAGAGGGGCAGAAATCAGCAACCTGACGCCCTACTTCAGCAAGAATGCCTTCAGAAAAGGAGGGGCGAAAATTGTAAGAAAAACCCAACTCTGGTGGTACAATAACAAAATAATAATAATAATCCTTACATTTGATGTAGTACCTTTCATGCCGGGACGTCATCTCAAAATGTTTCATACGATATACTGTAAAGTATAATTAGTGACTGTGTATTTTGTAGGCGATCTAGGTAGCCAATTTGCGCAATGTTCCACAAACAGCCATGAAGTGAATGGCCAGTTTTAACTGGGGGATTTTTGTCCAGAAAACTCTCTTCACTTACATGTATGAGGCAAACACTTAGTCCTTAATGTGCTTTATTTTTAATTTTTCTAATGTACTATTATTTATTACTATGGTGCTCTCTTGGTGCTTTCATAAGACATCTGGATAAATGACCTCTTCTGACCTCTGCTTACAGTAGATTCCTTGCCTCCCAGGTCAGAGATTGCCTCTTTTGTTTGTATTTCACGTGCCTACTTTTACTAAAAGTTCAGCAGGAAATTAGATTTTGAAAGAAAAACAAGATATTTCTTGTTGTTCCGGAAGCAAACCAATTACATGCATGCACACACAAATCATCAGGAATCTAGACAGCACCATGGGATGTCATTCACCAGGGTCTAGTTAATGCGCTATACTAGGTGATCTCAACAGAGCAGCCTGTGAAGTGTTGATACGTGTAAAACCGTTATATTTTGAATTCGGTTGGGCTCAACCCAGTTGCTTGCAGGCACTGACTCATAGAAGCACAAAATTGCCCTGGATTTGACCCTCCGTGTGGGACGGGGATGAAGGCCTGCCTGATAAGCCTTGATCAGGAGAAAGCCTTTGACAGGGTATCTCACAGCTACATGGATGAGGTACTCTCCAAAATGGGATTCGGGGAGGGAATATGCAAGTGGATCCGACTGCTCTACACAGACATCTATAGTGCAGTCAACGGGTATGAGACTGAGCCGTTCCCCATCAGGTCGGGAGTAAGACAGGGCTGTCCCCTAACCCTCACCTTGTTTGTCTGCTGCATCGAACCCTTTGCACAGGCCATCAGGAGGGACGGAGGATCAGAGGTGTCACCATCTCGGGCAGCCACGGCACACAAGCCAAGGCTTCCCTGTATATGAATGATGTCAACGCCTTTTACACAAACCAAAAATCAGTCTTCAGCCTGCTAGGCATTTGCAAACAGTTTGAACAAGCCTCGGGAGCCAAGGACAACCACCAGGAAAGCCAGGTGATGTATTTTGGAAACTGGAAAGAACGGAGTCTTATACCTTTTGGGTGATGCCAGACTACATCATAGTCTTGGCATCTGGTTTGGGGCTGCCCAGGAGTGCCAAAAATGCTGGGAATAGTGTCTAGGCACAGTGAGGAAGAAACTGGTGATGTGGCACCAGCGCTCGCTGTCCATCACTGGGAAAAATCTGGTGATAAAGTGTGAGGCCCTCTCGGTATTACTGTACATGGCCCAGGTCTGGCCTTTCACCAGGAACAATGCCACTGCAATCACCAGAGAAGTCTTCCAACTGATGTTGGAGTCCAAGATGGATCATGTCCGCAGACACACGATGTACAAAACCCCGGAAAAGGGGGGGAAAGTGCTCCCTAATGGGTCTGGCAGAACTGCCTTGAAACGTTCCACACAGTTGCAGGGTGCTGAACCACCAATCCTATGTTGAGAAATTCCTGAAGAGCACCATCCCAGACCCCTGTGCAATCACCAATTGGTGCGTGCAGCAGGCAGTCAAAACAGTTTGAAAGGGGGAGAGGACAGACTTGATCGGGAGGTACCCTATGACAACAGCCAGCTACATCTGGCAAAACCCCTCATCACCGGCCCTGACCAACAACCATCAGGACATGGCCTGGCTGGCGATAAAAGAGGCCTCCCCCTCAGGGCTTTCATGCACGGTCGAGGTCTGGGCCAGTCAGCACACTGGCCTGGGGCCAGCTGCAAACAACAACAACAACAACTTGGATTTATATAGTGCCCTCCACGCTGGACGGTGTCTCAGAGCACTTCACAGTAATGGATCCTGGTCATAGATGTAGAGGATGTCATTTGAGACTTTCACAAGCGCAGTCTCTGTACTGTGGACATGGCGGCAGCCGGACTGGAAGGGTTCGAAGAGGGAGTGGGAGGAGAGGTGTGCACGGAGTTGATTGGCAGCAACACATTCTAGGACTTGGCAAGGAAGGGCAAGTTTGAAATAGGGTGGTAGTGGTTGGGGTTTGAAGGATCTAGGGAAGGTTTTTTGAGGAGGGTTTTTCCAGCAGTTTTGAGGGGGGCAGGGACTGATCCGGAGGAGAGGGACTGATTGGTGACATCAGCCTGTAGTGGGCAGAGGAGGGGGAGCTGAGTGACCAGCAAATTGGTGGGGAGGGGGTTGAGGCAGCAGGTGGTGGGTTTCATTGAAGTGATGGTGGGTGAGAGTGAGGAAGGAGAGATGGGGCGGAAGGAATGTAGGATGGGGGTCGTAGTAAGAGTTGATGATGGGGAGGTTGAGGGGGACGGAGAGGGGATGATGATGGGTGACAAGAAACAGGAGGATGAGGCTGCCTGGCGGATGTTATGTATTTTGGATGAAAAGAAGTCCATGACCTCCTCACAAGTGGCATTAGATGTGAAGATTGAGGAGCCCTGAGGGGGCGAACGGAGGAGGTAATGGGTGATGGAAAAGAGGACTTTGAGATTGTTTTTTGCCTCCAAGATGATGTTGGAGTAGACATCCGCAGATGATGTTGGAGGCCAGGAGACCCTGGACCACCTCTTCCTGGAGTGTTGTTTCGCAAAGGCGGTTTGGAAAAGGTTGGAATGGATTCTCTCGTGGTTCGTCCCTGGGGACCCGCTGTCCTGGTACTCGGTGCTGTAATGAATGATCCCGGGCACTCACAGTAAACTAAATAAAGGAGGCCCTTTGGCACTCCCGAAACCAAGTGTTCTTCTGACAGGACGAGGGGATGGTGAAGGCCTGCCTCAGGCTCGCGCACGCTAGGATCAAGGACTATATACTGAGGAACAAGCTGAAGTTCGGAAAAGGCCAGATGGGGCCTGACCCCGGCAGGAGCCGCACCGGCACAAACCACTCAGGGCGCACCCACTGGGTAGCCCATGAGCGC